GAAGTGTCTGTTCATTTCCTTTGCCCATTTTTTAATAGGATTGTTTGTCTTTTTGTTGTAGAGATGTTGGATTTTCTTGTAGATTATGGAGATTAGACCTTTGTCTGATTTGTACATCACAGTATTATTTTCTAATAAGCTATTTCTAGGAACATTAAAAGAAAAACTCTTAATCTTTTAAAGCTGCTTATAAGTTTTATTTTATTCCAGCTTCACATGTACAGACAAATATGGTCAACATTTGAGGAGCCTGTCATGAAACGTCTTTGTGGCCCAGTCACCAGTGGGGAGGTGACCCCTCGTAAGTACTGTACATGGAAGTTTACATTCTGTGACCACTAGTGGCAAACACAGAATGACTACAGAGGTGGCACTAGCATCCTTACTCCAGACCCCGTGCGCTCTCCTTCAGAAAATGGAAACTTTGCTGAAGACAGGACTCCTCCACTTGAAGGTAAGTGAAGACTAAGGAGTTTACCTTTCAGTTAGAGATTCAAAGCAGCGTTATCCTTTGTGGCACCTCTGTCAACTCTCCCTGCTTATTTCTCCCTGCTTATTCCTAATAATACTGTCAGACACCTATTGATTTCCGAACCCACTCAGAGGTACTCATGCATCCCACTGAAATGGTCTGGCTTCATTTTAAACCTCTATAGCCATCGGCTTATTATTTCTTCTGCCAAGCCTACAGATCTGGCACCTATTAAATGAGTCTTCAGTCTCCATTTCACTTGTTTCAGATCCCTCTGGCGTCCGGTGGCGGTGGCCGAGATGAACATTCCACGTCACGAGCAGGGGCGGGCCAGCCCAGGAAACGCTCCTCCCTGGGCTGCCAGCGTGCTGTCTGTCAGGCGGCTTTGTTCTGACAGTGCTGCAGTGTGCTGCAGTGCGGTGTGCGTGTCATCCTCTCGCCCCCGGGCCAGGGTGGACACTGCAGAGACAGACTTGTCCCTGACATCACCAAGCCAGGCCCTGCCCACGCACGGCATCCCCGGGTCCAAACACTCCAACA